AATCTATTTTGAAGCAGTTCATGCACGCGCGCACGGACACACATGCACACGCACACATGTAGCCTTAACAGACTGTTGGAGCAAGTGCTGTTAGTGAACGCCTATGAAGGTCAGAACGGCCTACGAGGTTGTGGGTGGCGAGCACCACACCCAGCCGCCTTTGTCTCCCTCGTGACGATGTCTACGCACTGCACCGGGTACTCAACTGAGGCTGAGTCAACCTAGGAGAGAACCGGGACCGGTGCAGATAATCGTCACTTGCGTCGGTGGCTGTGAGCCGGGAATCGGACTCAGGCGCCGTGTTCGTAGCACAGCGTGCTCACCGAAACGCGACCACTCCCCTAATGCACGCACAAACGCCGAGTCGGCGTACCAGTCTAAGCGCTCTGTGTCTCACCCACGCTACGATAGTGCAGGTCACCCAGCCTCCCACGACTACATAAACTGTGGAGGTGGGATGATGGCATCGGCGGCTTGGGTTAACGCGAGAGTCAGCAACAGAAAAGCACCCGAGTCGGGAATTGAACTTGGGTGCTTCTTGCCGTGAGGCGCGAGTGTCGCCACTGCTTCGCTCGCTGCCCTCCTGCCGCCCGCTATGAAATCGGTATGAACGGCTCAACGGGACAATGGTCGAGAGTAGTGACAGAGTGGCAGCCTATGGATGGAGCGGTGACAGAGACTAAACTAAATACTATATAATTTTTTTTATTATACCAGGTAAGTCCCACTGAGCTATATTACTATGTTTCAGAAGCGACCTGGCCATAAATGATAGCTCAACTTGGGAGCTTATCATTTGGAAATCTATAGCAGACAAATACTCTAAACGCACGTTTCTAAATGTGGAGGGAAACAACTGGAGGACCCGGAGAAAAATCCACACGACCACGGGGAGTGAGACACGCAAACTCCAATTATACAGCAGGCGTCTGGGTGGGCGGGATCGAACCCACGACATCCTGCATACCAGGCGAGGCAGTTAACACCTCGCCACCAGAGAGTACGGCCACCACGGAGATGGAGCGATGGAATCAGTTTCTGTGCAGGCGTTGGGTGAATCGTTACATCGCAGCATCGAGAGACATGGCGGCGGCTTGGGGAGACCTTTATCCAGCAGTGGATTGACGATGGCTGCTGCTGGTGACGATGATCATGATATGAATGCAGGGGCTCAGTAGAGCCGCGAGCCGGTGAACCGGTCTGGGAGTCCCACTGGAAGTTCAGCCGCCGATCAAACCCCGGAGCTTTCGCGAGGTGACGAGCCCCCCCCCCCCCCAGACAAGACAAATGGAGCTTGGCCTATCAGCGGGTTGTCTACACAGCGTTGCCTTTCGCACCAGACGTGATAGCGTCAGCACAGGGCCGCGCAGGGATCATTAACTAACGACCCCCCAAGGGCGATGTCCTCAAAACATTCCTCCACCCACCCCCTCCTCCTCCTCCTCCTCTCTCTCGTAACAATTCCCGAGCCCCTTCGCTCTTCCCCACCCACCCACGCGACGCGATGCTGCCGCTGCTGATGCTATTCGTGCGATGAGATCATTCGCCTAATGGGTCACCCAGCGCTGTTCGCCACCGGCGCACATCCACCGCCCACTCAGTTCATCGTCACAATTTCTGGCACTCGCGAGCCACTAAAGAGGACGTTCTTAATTGTTGTCGTTGTTGTTGTTATTTCTCCCCCCCATGTTATCCCTGATTGTGCCCCTCGGCGTCATTAGACGAGCGATCCCATTCAGATCTCTCGCAGTGATGGGGAACGGCCCGCGGAGGTGGATGTCGTAGAACAATCCCCGAAATCGCTTTAAGTGCCCTCTGTTTCTCACAAACTAAGGGGGGGGGGATGGGGAGTCTCAGAATATTTATTTATACTGAAGGAATCCGATAAGCTATAAAGCTCTTTTTCACAGATGTCCAGTAGGGGCGTGTAAAAACCGTACAACAACAAACACCACAGAAACATAGTTGTGTAAAGCAGAAGACAGCAATTTGTTGTCTGCAAAGTCTATCCAGAGGACAACTACTGTTGACTTCACCCTGAAAGTGGTTGCTTATTTTATCGACCCTGGAGGGATGATGGGCTGAGTGGACCTCCCCGACCAGGATTTGACCTCGTGACCTTCTCCCGTTGGCGAGCCGCTCGCTCTACCGCTCTACCGCTGGTGGTGGCGTGGGGAGTTTTTTAAATTATTATTATTAATTTCACGAACAAAGTATTTTAGTTAATTGTTCAAGTGGTGTGCCCGGAAGACCATTAAGCTCGCTGATTGCAGTATTACGTAGGCTTTCTCAAAGCATCAAACTATCGTCGGCGCGATAAATTGACTGAGACTCTTTAGCCTAATGAGAAGCCGAGCACTTAATTAAAGGCACCTTTTAGCAAAAAAAAATCACAATTCATTTTTAATTTGATGTCGATATCCCATTACAGGGAGTCAATGCTAATTAAAAGCCGACACGCAACCCTCAGGTGACTCATCCCGGTGCCAAGAAACTTCGAGCAAAGGCTCAGTTGCATTTACCACGTCACGGGTGGACCCAGTGGACTGTCGGCGAGCGCCTATTGCTACCCAATAGTCACAATTTGACACAATTTAGAATGCGTGGTGGGCACAGTTTCCGATCACTCTCTGCACTCGCGAGAGAGATGGAGAGCGACTCAGGTGGCGCGGGTAAACCCACGGACAAGCCCGAAGGCAGCCCGAACTGGTGCCAAAAACAAAGTGCCTAACCTCCGTGGGTATACAATTGGGATGATTTTTTTGGCGATTCCATTAAGGAGTGATGATACATGCGGGGGATCCCACGTGTGCGAGGGGAGAAACACTCAGTCCCCATACACGATGGGAACAGAGACGGAAACGAGCCCACTTGCTGTACTGCCACATCCGTGGCAATGTCTGGGGATGACGGCGTCAACGTGCATGGGTAGGGAGGGAGTTTCACGGATCGGTGTCATCCGCCAAACCCTCGCCGACTCCACAGCGCTGGGTTCGAGGCCGGGTCAATAGCGGCATGGCTGCAAGTGGGCGCCACTGCCCGCCTTTGTCTTCCCCAACACTGGTGGTGATGGACACGCGCGACCTCCAGCACAACCACCATCTCAGGCTGAGTTGATGCGACAGTCGTCCAGACTAGCTTCGTATCAACAAAAAGCTGCCACTGGTGATAAGTTCGAAGGGATAGGGTATAAGCAACTTGGGAGGTTGGGAATAGGAGGTTGTGATGGGTGGGACACGGGTGCAGGATGGAGGAGGAAGGCAGGTTACAGAGACGGGCATTGGAGTGGTGTCCAGAGGTTCCTGACCAAAGCCCGAGGGCGGTGCTGGTGGTGGAGATGCTACCTACTGGTGGTGCTGCTGGTAGTGCTGGTATTGGTGGTGCTGATGGGTATGAAGAGAGTGGTGGTGCTCGTGGTGCCGGTGTGGCTGCTGGTTTGTGACGCTACCACTGGTGGTGTTGCTGCTGGTAGGGGCTACAGGACTTAGCATGAGGAAGGGAGCGATGGGGAGGCGCGGCTGGCACCAATTTGCATTGGCCGTGATGACGTCTCGACCGTGATCTCGACCTCTGCCCCTACCACCCTGCACCTATCCTCATCCATGGCCACTTCCCAACTTCACGCATGTCCCCCATACCCCACTGCCTCTCATCCATGCTGCACCCATCAGACACCCTCACTCACCATCACGTTCCACCTTATTCCGCCTTAGCTACCCCTGCGACATCAGCTCCATTCCCAGCCCCTCTCCCTCCCTGCGCCCTGGAAAGGGCGCTACATAAATGCGAAATAGAATCGAATCTGAACCAGGAGCCAAGCCCAGGCCATCTAGGATTGCAGCGCAGTAGGCGCTAATCATCGTGCCGCAGCCCACGCACACATTCACGCACCCCGTGCGCGCATGAACGTGTGCATGAGTTAACATGCTAATGAGGTTTTTTTTTTATTGGCTAAGAATAACCCGTGCCATATTTCACGGCTGTAAACTGCGCGCAGACAACGCGCGGGATACGTAAGGTCGGAGTGTTCATCGCAAACACCAAAGCGCCTACTGCGTCGAGCCATTAAGTCGGTGGCTTTAGTTTGAGTCGCGATCTTATTTATTTACGTTAAAATGCAATTATCTCAGCGGTCAAATCCCCCTGATAAATCTGACGGCCTGTTCCGCGATCGACACCCCACCGCCCCCCGGTGGCAGCAGCAGCAGCCTGCCGACGGGCACGACTGCGCTCGCTCGGTACAATCCATCGCCGCGGCTTTCAAACGCCGAAAGAAAAATAAATAATAATAATCATTGCACAAAAACAAAGCAAGCGAACGGTTTCCGCCGTGCGTTGGGAGGCCAACGGTCGACGTTGTCGCTGCTGCTGCTGCTGCTGCGGCGGCTCTGGCAACGTCCCAGCGCCCGACGATTTTATTCTCTGGTTATGGTTTTTATTTTTGTGTGTGTGTGTGCACAAAACGCCGAACGGTTCGTAGTTTAAAAAATAAAGGGGGGAGCGGGGGAGGGGGGAAAGGGACGGGGCTAGATTCGCGTAAGTATGTGTCGTTAACCCGCCACCACCCGACACAGCCAACCAGTAAGGTTTGTCACGGGAAACAAAACGTGCCAATAGGTCACTGCTTCAGGCCGCCCGGTGTGTTGGAGAGTAAAGCCACAAAATTCACATTTTGCGTGCTGTGACGTTTCGCCGGTGATTACATCCAGCATCATCAGGCGATTTGCCAGAATTGTGAAGCGACCGGCTCGCTTCTGGTCTGAAATAGAGCCAGAAGACGTCATCACCGTGAGCCAATCAGGTGCGGAAATCAGAGGGGTTTATTGTAGTAATACAACGATAGATTGTTATTCAATTAATGAGTGTGTGATGCCTTGACAAGCCATTCAATTGCAAGGTGTATTACTTCGTACCACGCTTCCAGGCCGCACTAAGTCTGTCGCGGATTGGTAACTAATTGGCACGTTTCGTTTGCGTGATAAACCTCACTGGTTGGCTGTGTCGGGTGGTGGCGGGTCACGACACATTTATTCTCACGCGATCTAACCCCAAAAAAAACAACTCAATTATGAGCAATATCGGTCGTGTGAGGCCACCTGATGACGGACGCTTGTGTTGGCACCTGAAACGTCGTGATTTATTTTATTTTATATCCTTACGTGACTTTACCGAAAGAACCAAAGAGTATGGATTCCTGCAGTCACGAAAGCTTCAAATCAAGATTGCTCAACTCCTGTCTACAGCTCTGCAGAACCCAGTGGTGCGAATTCAGAACCAGAATGTGTATTCATACTGGAGGAATCCGATGAGATGTAAAGCTCTTTTATTATTTTCAGATGTCCAGTAGGGGCGGGTAAGAACGTTACAACAACAAACGATACAGAACATGATAGTGGTGAAAAGTACAAAAAGGTGAACAAATCACCCAAACACATACAAATATAACTACCCAGGCAAAGCCCACTTAGGAATGAACTTATTTTTCAGAAGCGACCTGGCCACAAATGATAGCTCAACAAAGTGGCAGCCATAATTTGGAAATTTGTAGCACCGAAATTATCTAAATAATCTCAAAGGATGTTTCTAAATTCAGTGGGAGCGAATCAAATGCCCTTCCAGAGCAAACCAAATGCAGCAGATAAGTTTATTTTTGGTTTAAGGAGAAGGATCTTAAACGTTTCACAGACAAGAGGAGGAACGTAAATGTATGATAGATAGCAGGAGGCTACTCGGAAGTAAAGTTAATAGGACGAATTGGAGAAAGGTCAAGTGAGATTTCTCAGACATGCAATGTGAAAAGAAGCGAGTGAATATGAATGTGTTTTGACTGGGACAATTACAGGTATACAAGAAGCCAGTGATTATAGCGAATTAAGTTGCATGAGCAAATTGGACAATCGGATGCAATTGTGAGCATCTAATACAACGTGTTAGAGTTAATATCATGGACACGGCTAAATGGAAGGAAGGCCATGCGTGATTGCGGATGTCTTTGACAGAGGACACGGCTCGTAGAGGGAGAGAGAGAGAGAGAGACAGAGCGAGAGGGAGAGAGAGCGCAAAGAATCTCGCTACCGGACAACCACTGTTGACATTCCCACAAAGTGGTGCTTTATCAACCGCGGAGGGATGACGGGCTGAGTCAACACCCCCCGGCCAGGATGTCAACTCGACACCTTCCGATGGCGAGCCGCCTGCTCCGCCGTTGAGGAGACACCTGGCAAGGTATATAGATCGATAGAGGCAACGGTGTAAGGCGCTGCCCTGCAACCGCTGGTTCACGCCACTGCTGTGTGTGTGTGTGGGGGGGGGGGGGGGGGGGGGTTCACCCACGCTTTACCCCACCACACGTGACCTGCCGGTTGCAGAGCTGCCCCCCTTTGCCCCTTTGGTAAACAGCGAAATCGTAAAGCCCGGGTCTGGAGTCGGCTAGCGCGGGACACTGTGAAAGTGTTTTCTCTTCAACGAGGCGGCAACGACACGACGGAATTTTCATCACATCGAGTTAGGATGTTCCCTGCAGGCGTTTCAACCACGCGCTCGTCACGTCACCGTTATCCGTGGCAATTTCGGGGCTGCCCCTTTGCTCTGTTACGCTGCGCGAATTTGCATCGGGGGAATGCTCATGGCACCACGCGGTTGTGGAAATAACTCTTGCGCGGACGTGGCAATGACTCACCCTTCAGGCACACTCCCTGCATCGTTTCCCACCTTTGATCGATGGCTCGTAGTGGCTTGCAGAGCCTCGCGCCGGCCAATTTGATATTGATATTCAAAATGCCGCGGTCCTCACAACCCATCTATCCCTGTAGCAGCAGCGGCAGCAGCAGCCTGAGCAACGTTCCCACAGCCGTGCCCTCCCTTCAACATCACCCCCCCCCCCCCCCCCACCGTGGAAGATTATTTATTTAACTAACATTTTTTTATTCGAGTAATCTTCCCGCAACCCACTTCTCCAATCGTTTTACCCCGATCGCCGTTGTCTGCGTGGCGCGCCGCCAACTCGGGAAAAGAAACGGAGGCGAGCGATCCCTCGCGATAGGAGAGAGGCCCGCGGGAATGGATATCACAGAGCTACGTCGGAGATTCCTTCAAGTGACCCCTTGACATATATACTCTTTGGTTCTTTCCCTTGACAGATGTTTACATGCGAGTGCCGTAGTCATCCTGAATCCATCACTTTGATGTTAATCTACCTCAGTTTTACGCAGCGTAGTTTTTTTAAAAAGCAATTTTGGGCCATTCAACTTTTTAGTGTGGTCATAATTTATTAATTAAATACTTGTCACGTTGGTGTGCTGCTTTCGATTTACTTCGTCACGCGGTGTATTCGCTCTGATGTCTCTACAGTTGCGGTTTTGCTCTCTTAGCTTCCTCGTTGGACTGGGCTGTCTTGTTCGTCTTTGTTATGTGGATCACTCAGGAAGTCACTCTTGCATTTGAAGACTCCTTTCCATCCTGACCTCTCGACCTCTCACACAGGTTGCACGAACCCACGTGCCGCTTTCACTTCTGCTCCGCACAATAGGGGGGAGGGGAGGTGCAACAACTCTCTCGCCAACATTTGAATGCGATGGAATCGTTTTTGTTTTGCTTTTGGGTGCAGTGATCGGTGAACCGCGTGGCCGAAAATTCGAGAAAGTTGCGCGGTACAGTTCCCTTGAGCCGGTGGTTTGGATAAGGCTGGAGAGCTTTTGTGCATGCAGCGCACAATGTTTGCGCATTGGTTAAATGCGCCTCGAAGTATATTTGTGTATGTTAGTGGGCGTTTGTTAGTGGGTGCGTGTATTTGTTAGTCTGTGTGTGTGTGTGAGTAGGGGAGCGGTGGTGTAGTGGTCAGCGCGCTGCGCTACGAACCCGACGGCCCGAGTCCGATTTCCGCTCACGGCCAACACCAGTGACGATTATCTGAATCGGTACCTGGGCCTCTCCTAGGTCAACTCAGCCTCAAATGAGTACCTGGTGCGATGTGTAAAAGCATTGTCACCAGGGAGACAAAGGCGGCCGGGCGTGGTGCTGTCCACCCACCGCCTTGCGTGCCGTTCTGGCCTTCATAGGTGCTCGCTCACAGCACTTGCCCCAACAGTCTGTTAAGGCTACACGGGGGATCTTTGTCTTGAACTGGACAAGCAAAAAAAAACATTGCCGCAAAATCACTGGAATTTTCGTATCGCCTGACGGCTAAAAATGTGTAAACAGTTCGGCCTACTTATTTATTTATATAAGATGTATACACCGAGCAAGTCAATTTGGCCGCGACAAGCTAGTTTACAATGAAACCCCGCGGGCTCGGGTTTTATTTTAATATGTTTTCGGAAGAAAATTGTGGAATTGTGTTACCACCATTCTATCCCAACCACGTGGCCACGCGTGTGCCATACATCTCTCATATTACAAGGGCCCCTTCAGGATGGACTTGTTGGCTCGGTAAGTCCTGGTCGCGAGGTTTTTTTCTCTTTCAATATTATTATATCAACGGACTTATACAAGGTGGCTTTTATTAAGCGGCGGCGGTGGCGCAGACACACGTCCGGGTTGTATATACAGGGGAGGAAGGACCCTGTTAGGTTTTTTTTTCATTATTGAAAAATCCTCTTGCAGGGGAGGGCCTTGCTAAGGTGGCTTGGCCCCGACGTTGTTTGTCGAGGCGATGGCTCGACTCTGCGCATGTCGGTCGAGTGTCTCTCGCGTGGCTGCGGACGCTCGCGTGCGCCTCGGGGAGCGGTAGTTGTAGCGGCTAGAACGCGCTGCGCTACGATTATCTTAACCGGTCGTGGGCCTCCCCTAGGTCGATTCAGCCTGAAATAAGTACCCGGTGTGGCGGCGTTAAACATCGGCACTTGGGGAGGCGAAGGCGGCCGGGCGTGGTGCTGGCCACCCGCGCCCTCGTGCGCCGTGCCGGCCTTCATAGGTGCTCGCTAACAACACTTGCCCCAACAGTCTGTTAGAGGCTACACGGAGGGGGGGGGGGGGTGGAGTAGGGGAGGAATGGGGGGGATGTGGGGGGGGGGATGAGGGGGGGGTTGTCTTTTTTTTGAGTGATGAGTGTGAGACTCAGGACCTCCTAGCAGCAGGAGCAGCTGCTCGCCTCTGCTCGCCTCTGCCGGTGCGGCAGTCTCAGCTGTCCCCTTCATTTCGGCAGCCACGACGGTCCCCGTGGATAACTCCTTGTGGCTGAGCGGCCTCTGTGCTGCAGACTCGGATATTCTCCGTGCGTAACTCCGTTCCTCCGAGGCCAGCGCGCATGTACGACAGGACATCAGTTGCGCGTGTTTTCATTTGACGTGGGCGTAACAATGTACGACGTTTCACAACCCCCCCCCCCCTCCCCACCCCGTCCGTAAATTATAAGAAAGAAAAACACAACAACAGTTGTTGGGCCCAGATCCAAATGGCCAATTTGTCAAGCGGCCAGCAACAAACAGCACTGCCGGAGCTGTAATTGATCATTAATTAGAGTGTAAGGCGCGTCGCGAATTGAGCGAGGTTACACTTGGGAGGGAATTTCAAAGTTGAGCGATGCGAGGGGAAGAATCACAACAGGGGAAGCGAGGTGCCCTGAAGTGTGACGAGTGGAGGGGGTGGGTGGGTGAGTGAGTTGGTGAGTGAAGTGTGCTTGTTGTGACCTGCATCGTGATTTTTGAACACGGCGTGCACGGAACGAACGAAACGGTGAGCGTGTTGGGAGAGACCGATTCCTCGACACGGGTGGAGGAGGATTCGACGGGTGGGAGTTCACGCGAACCGGAACGGTGGTCGCAGCGATAGAAGAGCGACAGGGAGGCGACTGGTCTCCGGCGAGCGACTGAGTTGGCAGATACGCCAGTGTTGCGGATGGTAGCAGCAACATCGGTCGCATCGGATCTCCATAAACCTTTACGAGTCTGTAGAACCGCAGGAGAAGACGGAAGGGCTTAATAAAAAAAGGCTCCCGATTGGGGCTCAAGATAGACACGAAAGGAATCAGAGTCACGTGCCGCGTGAGTACGCTACATGACTGGTGATGTCTGTCGCAGAGACATCGTTGGAATACTCAGCAGAGAGTTGTCTGTGTGTGTGTCTACCTCGTGTGGAGACACCGCTAGAATACTCAGCAGAGAGTTGTCTGTGTGTGTGTCTACCTCGTGTGGAGACACCGCTAGAATACTCAGCAGAGAGTTGTCTGTGTGTGTGTGTCTACCTCGTGTGGAGACACTGCTAGAATACTCAGCAGAGAGTTGTCTGTGTGTGTCTACCTCGCGTGGAGACACCGCTAGAATACTCAGCAGAGAGTTGTCTGTGTGTCTACCTCGTGTGGAGACACCGCTAGAATACTCAGCAGAGAGTTGTCTGTGTGTGTGTCTACCTCGTGTGGAGACACCGCTAGAATACTCAGCAGAGAGTTGTCTGTGTGTGTGTGTCTACCTCGTGTGGAGACACTGCTAGAATACTCAGCAGAGAGTTGTCTGTGTGTGTCTACCTCGCGTGGAGACACCGCTAGAATACTCAGCAGAGAGTTGTCTGTGTGTGTGTCTACCTCGTGTGGAGACACCGCTAGAATACTCAGCAGAGAGTTGTCTGTGTGTGTCTACCTCGTGTGGAGATACCGCTAGAATACTCAGCAGAGAGTTGTCTGTGTGTGTGTGTCTACCTCGCGTGGAGACACCGCTAGAATACTCAGCAGAGAGTTGTCTGTGTGTGTCTACCTCGTGTGGAGACACTGCTAGAATACTCAGCAGAGAGTTGTCTGTGTCTGTGTGTGTGTCTACCTCGTGTGGAGACACCGCTAGAATACTCAGCAGAGAGTTGTCTGTGTGTGTGTGTCTACCTCGTGTGAAAACACCGCTAGAATAATCAGCAGAGAGTTGTCTGTGTTGTGTGTGTCTACCTCGTGTGGAGACACCGCTAGAATACTCAGCAGAGAGTTGTCTGTGTCTGTGTGTCTACCTCGTGTGAAGACACCGCTAGAATACTCAGCAGAGAGTTGTCTGTGTCTGTGTGTCTACCTCGTGTGGAGACAACGCTAGAATACTCAGCAGAGTTGTCTGTGTCTGTGTGTGTGTCTACCTCGTGTGGAGACACCGCTAGAATACTCAGCAGAGAGTTGTGTGGAGCGGTAGTGCAGTGGTTAGCGCGTTTCGCTACAAATCAGGTTACCCGAGTTCGACTTCCACTCACGGCCAACACCGGTGACGATTTTCTGGACCGGTCCTGGGCCTCCTCCCCTAGGTCGACTCAGCCTCAAATGAGTCCCTGGTGTGGTGAGTAAACATCGCCACTCGGGCGACAAAGGCGGCCAAGCGTGGTGCTGGCCACCCACCCCCTCGTGTGCCGTGGCGACCTTCATTGGTGCAGCACTTGCCCCAACAGTCTGTTGAGGCTGGGGGGTCGTTGTCTTTGTCTATCTAGGGCAGTTGAATAAAAAAAGGACCCGTAATGAAGATGATGGGATCTCGATTCGGATGAGATCATGGTGGGGACACTGAACTTCACAACGAAGTAAGACGCAGCAGCGACAGTGGCGGTGATGGAACGAGCAGAGGGACGTTGCTTTATCATTGCGCCGCTTTCCTGCTCTTCGTTCGCGTGGCATTTCCACCATCATCACCACCACCACTACCACCACAACAACATAGCAGCAAGAGGCTACAAGTGCGAGTTGCCAGCAGGTCAGCCACTCTGCGGCGTCCGTGCGTGGTGGTAGCCGAGCGGAAGTCACTCGCAGGTCTGCTACCAGAGTACGCGAAGTTGTAATGCGGGGGTAGAGGGGGGTAGGTGAGGCAGTCATCAGTGATGAGTACAGCTGTTGGATTTGCACCTCGCAACGCGTTCGCAGTTCGCTGCCTGCTCTGCGACATCGTGGCTTAGCTAAACCCGGACATTGAGAAGGGAATTCAAACGACACCTTGATGGGGGCCAATTTATAATCAACGCCCGTGTCGTCACGCAGAGCCCCCAACCCCCCCCCCCTCCCCCCGTTGCTGGGATCACAATGAGCATTTCAAATCCACCGCGTATGAAATAAAATAGGCACGATACAATACACACGTTACAATGCACGTGGTTCAATACACACACACACAGACGCTGTACAATGCCGGACTTGTCGGCGTGCTGTGAGAGCTGTAAGCTCATGTCACGGGCCCGGAAGAATACAATGTCATTCAAAACAAGTTCCAATGCGCTTTGCACGTGTTACGCAGCACAAAGTATACGCATGGAGAAGTATCAACATAGCGCACGCTACTCACAGGGCATACAGCACGTGGAATATCACACGGAATATCACGCGTATACGTTATGCAAGAAGGGTCATCGCCCGAAACGTCGAGAAATGATATATTTTCTGAAAATCTGTATATATTTTTAAGAATCATCAAAGTGCCCATTGGTTGAACAGGTAGTCGGCTTTCGCGACAAATATTATCCATGATTGAGGTGTGTTGGGTTATATCGCGTAAATATACTCTGGGCTGTCCGCCTGATGATTCTGGTGGTTGTAATTAATTGTGAAACCTTTTTGGTGAAACGTCACGTGACTCGAATTCTAAATTTCGTGGGGTTTACTCTCCAACACACAAAGCGGTGTGCTGAACTAGTAACGAATTGGCCACGTTTTGTTTACGTGACAAACCTTTACTAATTGGCTGTGTCGGGTGGTGGCGGGTTTAACGACACATTTATATTTACGCGATCCAACCCCCCAGACAAACCTCTGAAAAGGTAGCCTTTGCATACTTAAAGAAGCTCCGCTTTATATATCCCTCCGACACCTCGTCCAAGACGTCGTGCCCGAGTGGAGTTCCCTTCCGCAGGCACGGCGCTTGACCAAGCAGCTTGCAGGGCTGCGCCTGTGCCCGTTTATAAGCGCCGTGCCCTGCAAACGCAGCCCACTGCCGCGTGAACAAATTGTTCACGCCGCACTGGCGTGAACTGTACTGTGTGTGTGTGTACCCCCCACACACACAGTACACAACAGGGCGTGCTTGTGTGTACTGTGAAGGACCTCTAAGCCATGCCCACACAGCGCAGACTGCCAACAGTGGTGACGGCATAGAGTAACGCAGTGAGTGTGTGCTGAGTAATATTTCACCACTGTGTAATTTCTCGTAACAACCACTGCTTTCAGTGTGAACTACAACTCGCATGCAATAAAGACAACGGCTCCCCGTGTAGCCTTCACGGAGTGTCGGGGCAAGTGCTGTTAGCGAGCACCTATGAAGACCAGGCCACGGCACACAGCGAGCGCCACGCCCGGCCGCCTTTGTCTCCCTATCGGTGATGTCTACACGCCGCAACAGGTGCTCGTTTGAGGCCGAGTCGACCTAGGGGACCGATCGCAGATAATCGCCACTGGCGTTTGGCCGTTAGCGGGGATCGAACTGGGGGTCCTCTGAATTCGTAGGCGAGTCCCAACTGCGCGCGCACAGCAGCCGGTGTGAAGCGTACCGCGCGCGTGGCCACACTGCCCCCTGAGCCCCACTAGTTGTAGGCATAGTTCGAATAGATGCAGGCTCGCTCGCACTGATACGAGTGGTCATCGTAATAATAATGATGCACGCGCTGGCCCCGGGTGTGTTAACCCCTTAAACGCGGAGGAATAGCGTGGCACGCGCGCGCGCGTGTGTGTGTGTGATGCACGCCGCACGTGTGTGTGTGACGTATGCCGCACGTGTGTGTGACGCACGCCGCACGTGTGTGTGTGACGCACGCCGCACGTGTGTGTGTGACGCACGCCGCACGTGTGTGTGTGACGCACGCCGCACGTGTGTGTGTGACGCACGCCGCACGTGTGTGTGTGACGCACGCCGCACGTGTGTGTGTGACACACGCCGCACGTGTGTGTGTGTGACGTATGCCGCACGTGTGTGTGTGACGCACGCCGCACGTGTGTGTGTGTGACGCACGCCGCACGTGTGTGTGTGTGTGACGTATGCCGCACGTGTGTGTGACGCACGCCGCACGTGTGTGTGTGTGTGAGACGCACGCTGCACGTGTGTGTGTGACGTATGCCGCACGTGTGTGTGTGTGTGAGACCCACGCTGCACGTGTGTGTGTGACGCACGCCGCACGTGTTAACTACGTGCACGTAACACAGTCTAGGAGCACACCTGGACTGTTAACACAACACACCGACACACTGACACGCGGAAACTCTTCTACACACGCTGGTACGCACGCGCACTGACAAAAAGACAAACGTGTATTCGCTGTATAGCCTCTATAAGCTGCTGGGGCAAGTGCTGTTAGCGAGCACCTATTAAGGCCGGCACGGCACACGAGGGGGTGGGTGGCCAACACCACGCCCGGCCGCCTTTCTCTCCACAGTGGCGATGTTTACACACCGCACCAGGTACTCATTTGAGGCTTAGTCAACCTAGGGGAGGCCCAGGACCGGTTCAGATAATCGTCACTGGTGTTGGCCGTGAGCGTTAATCGAACCCGGGTCGCCAGGTTCGTAGCGCAGCGTAGCGCTAACCGCTACACACACCGACACACACATACTGACACACACACACACACACTGACACACACGATCAACAGTCACGCTCGCAAAACACATCACACGGCAACAACAAACACGTGTGATTGACACAAAGACAACACACAGCGAGAGGAGGGTGACACAGCGAGACACACGCACAGCACACACAGCGAGACACACACACACATAGCGAGAGGAGGGTGACACAGCGAGACACACGCACAGCACACACACACAGCGACACACACACAGCGAGAGGAGGGTGACACAGCGAGACACACACACACACAGCGACACACACACACAGCGAGACACACACGCAGCGAGCCACACGCAGCGAGTCGCAGAGACGCGGCGAGACGCAGAATAGAGACGCGGCGGCGACTCGCTCACCCAGCTTGGCCCTCGCCTGCTCCAGCTTCCTGATCTGATGCTCCACGAAGAGCATCGCTCCCACCAGCAGAAGAGCCGCCAGGAGGCCGAATCGCCCGGGCATGGCGACTCCCTGAGCCTCAGCGGGAGCAGCCGGTAGCAGCAGCAGTGGCGGCTGCTGCTGCTGCTACTGCTGCTGATGATGGTACTGCCGCTTGCTTGCCGCTGCTGATGCTGCTGTTGGATGTGGTGGCGGCGTCGGTGGTTGGAGGTAAAGGGGAGAAGACGGACGGGGAAGCTAACGCCAGGGATTTTAGAACAAGCGAGTGTTAAAAATGCATCCAAACAAAATATTACGAGCACGTGTGCGTCTCTGCGCGCACGCCCGACTATAGACAAAATGCATTCATTGAGCTGGCTCCGTGTGTAGTACTTCCTGCTACGCGTCCTGGTGGTGGTGGTGGTGTATTATATGAGTAGGACCGCGCTGTGTATGACTTAAAAGCTGCTATGCTGGACTCGTGCGATTGCCTTGTTACGATTGAGCGCTGGCCAGTACACTGAGAGAGAGAGGCGGGGGGGGATAGCGGGTGAGAGGGACGGAGAGCGAGAGAGCGAGCAGAGGGAGGGATCAGAACGGCACACACACACACACCTGTCCCGAAGCCGACTGCTTATCGCTGTCTCCCGTCATCCCTGTCGCCCCCCGCGATCACTGCCTACCCACACCGCCAGCGCCATCACGGGGCGTTCGCACGCAGCCTCAACTCACCGGCTCGCTCATTCACCATGCTCATTGACTCGCTCGCTGTACACCCAACTCAACCACCGACTCGCTCGCACACTCAACCGACTCATCCGCAAATTTCACTCTCACGCCAAACCCACCTACCCACCCACCATCCTCCACTCTCGTTTGCGCACTCACCCAGCCACTCGCCCACGCACCTCGCCGACTTGCCCACTCGCTCAACAATCCACTCCTGCCTGTTGTGTGCTCTATTGTTGTTCTTCCCCCGCACCTCCGATTTGCACGGTTGGCTACGTACGGTGCGAATGAGGTTCAACATGGATACCTGTACATAACTCACCCGTACACTCACTCATTCCACCCACTCGCGCCGCTCACCCCCAATCACCCGCCAGAGCTTCTATTTCCCTCCACGCCTGTGTTGGACTGCTCGTATCGCTGGATGTGTGGCCTATTGAGTGTGATCAGTGTCTGAGAAACCCTCGAGCCATACTCTGCTGCTGCTGCTGCTGTTGTTGTTTTTCTTCTTCCATAATGTTGACGAATTTTAGCCGACAAACCCGGGGCGTTTGAATAATTCAAGCGATTTAATTTCCTTATGCGTAATATTTGAACGACCCTTCAAGGTGCCCTCACACCGCGCCAGTCGTTGTATAAACCCCATGGAGAATCACCGCTTCATATATACACACGCAAAATTAATCCCGCAAGCCGGATACGCACATCGCAGTGAACACTGACAACGAGTCAGGAATGCGTCTGCCTCGTAGCGCACGGTTAATGTGGCTCAGAAGTCAATGGGGTAGCGATATTGGCTTTAGCCACGCGGTGACAGCGGTAACGTTTGTGGCGCTTGCGATGCCACTTTGCCTGCAAGATCGAGAGGCGCTGCTGCTGCTGCTGGGTTCAGGAGCAGGGCACCGGGACCAGCAGCTTGGAGTTGGACATGAAAGGAGAAAGCTCTGAAGTTTGGACGTTGGGACGAACGTTTAACCTTCCCATCGCTCTGGTCTTCGCGCCTGATTGTTTCGCAGGTGACTACATCACATTTACCTCCCCCCCCCGTCTATTTAAGACCGAAGCAGGAAGATTGATCCACAATTCCTGGCTGTTGCCTGATGATGCTCGTTGTTGTAATTACCGGCGAGACGTCACGGTCGTAGAAATGTAAATGTTGTCGGGGATTTATTCTCCAACGCACAACCGGCGTGTGCTGAGCCAGTAACGAATTGGCACACGTTCTGTTTACGCGACAAGCCTTACTAATTGGCCGTGTCGGGTGGTGGCGGGTTTGACGACACGTATTTTTCACCCGATCCAACCCCTTTCCCCCCCCCCCCAAAAAAAAAAAAACTTCATTACGAAATGTTTTAGAGCTGGCCAATCGCGAGGAAGATCAACTCCGAATGTTCGATACGAATGGCAAAGGCGTATAGAGCGATGCTCGGAAGAGATGGCACCATCGATCGATTGATTGAAGGTGCTCAACGTAACGCAGTCAGTTCCTTCACCGGAAACTCAATGTCAAGGCTGCTGAGCACAGCCTCAAAGCCCACAAATCGTCAAGAATCCAGCAACGAAGAGCTCTGTCAAAGTCGTAATCGGTAAGGGTTTAACAGGTTTTTTAAAAGTTCAATGAAGAAAACGATGATGATGATGATGATGGGACGAGGGGATTCCAACGTGGAGCAGTGCGAGGAAAGAAGCAGAAAGAGAAGTGGTGTGACCTGCGGTGTGGTGATTGCGTGGGTGAGTGAGTAGGTGAGTGGTGAGTGGGTGGGTGAGTGGGTGGGTGAGTGGTTGAGTGGGTGGGTGAGTGGGTGGGTGAGTGGTTGAGTGGATGGGTGGGTGAGTGGTTGAGTGGGTGGGTGAGTGGGTAGGTGAGTGGTTGCGTGGGTGGGTGAATGGATAGGTGAGTTGGTAGGTGAGTGGTTGCGTGGGTGGGTGAGTGGGTAGGTGAGTGGTTACGTGGATGAATGAGTGAGTAGGTGAGCGGTTGAGTGGGTGGGTCAGTGGGTAGGTGAGTGACTGAGTGGATGAGTCGGTGAGTGGGTAGGTGAGCTAATGAGTGATGTGTTGTGACCTGCAGTGCGGTGGTGGTTTAACACAGTGTGGAGGAGTTGAAACAACGGTCATGGCCAAGGTGGGGGGTGGGGGGGGGGCAGTGGAGGAGGGGTGCTCGTGGGAGTTCCCACAGAGGAAACCGTAGCAGCTCGAGGACTTTCATCGCTAAGTGGCTTTCCCTGCATCTCCACATGTGGAAGAGAGCCATGTACAGGCCCGGGAGCTGTCAGCATGGCTTAGGAGGGATACGATCTCCCCCTAGGTGTGTCCTCATTATCGTGCCCGCCGCTGCGACGCATCGGGGTATCGGTTCCAAGCTTGTCCAAGCCGAGCCACTGCAAGTGGCCTCACGGTCGGCTCGATGGCTCAGGGGATCACCGAGTCAGCACCCCGGAAGAGAGAGAGAGAGAGAGGCTGGGGTCATCCCCAGGAAATCGCCGCGATTATTTTTTTCCCCTCGACCAAATCATATTGCTTTTGTGCAGTGTACACGTGCACACGTGTGCACGTGCACACGTGCACACGTGTACACGTGCACACGTGTACACGTGCACACGTGCTGACCTCATGTCAGTCCATTGCTGGCCGTGTCTTTTTTTTCCACGCCACGATGCTTGCCAGTTCTTCGCCCCGGTCTTTGTGGGTTAGTGAAGGCAGGGAGCATAGACATTGGAGCTACAGTACAATACAACGACGTATACTTGCCGTTCAGGTCAGAGTGCCGATGCCGGCACTGCTGATGTTTCTAGGTTCAATTCTGGGTCTCAGACGCCTGTAAAAAAAAAAAACGAGTTTTCAAGTATAGCGACTTTATGGTCTCAGCCCTGGTCACCAATGACTGCACACAAGAGGACACATCGCATCAAATTTGGTCCCGCACTTAATTTGTCAAGAATTTCCGGGCTCTGACGATTAACGTAACCGGTTTCGTTCATGCGACGAACACAATTCTCATTGCAAAAGCGAGCGCGGGTGGACAAGTGCTGTCCATCGCTCTGTGGATGAAGAGGTCAATTTTGAAGGCAGGGATCTCAGAGGTGGCTCTGTGATATCCACTTCTGTGTGACGTTCTCGAACACGGTAGGTGGTTGCTCTTGCCCTGCCGGAGATCTGCATGGATTCCTCGTCTCGTGTGATGGCACAATCGTGCAACCCGAGATAACATTGTTACAAAGTCACGAGAAAAAACTAAAAGCCTCCCTAAAAAGGCATTATATATATTGCACCAGAATCACGTGGTCTTTTAACGTGCGTCTCTCTCGGGGTTCTTGTCAGTCACATTTCCGTAAATTGCGCGTCTGCAGGAAAATGAGCGCCAATTAATCTTTGTCGTTGTCACAATCACAATGATCCTCTGAGTGTGAGAGTGAGCGCGCGTGATTAATTATGCACAGGCATGTAGAGACACAGAGAGAGAGAGAGAGAGACGTACTTGGACTTGTTATTAGGAAAGTGTATGAAATATCACCTCACCGTAATTTCATTTGCACCAATGTGCGGGAAATGAATATCCTCAAAGTAATGTTTCGTCAGTTTCATTATAATTATTCTTATATGCACACATACAGGAGTTGTGTTTTTTTAATTTAAAGTAAACAGGGGAGAATTTGTCACATTGTGATATCCATCAGACGCCGTTTGGGACGAATGAGATGGTGAACCATTCCTTGCAGGGCAAAAATTTATCAAGCGGATGTGAAGTACGTTTATTGTGTTGAGAAATTAGGCAAGTATGTATAATGCAATTGTGTATAAAGCAATTGTGTATAAAGCAAGTGTGTGTAAAGCAAGTGTGTGTATAGCAAGTGTGTGTAATGAAAGTGTGTGTAATGAAAGTGTGTGTAATGCAAGTGTGTGTAAAGCAAGTGTGTGTAATACAATTGTGTTTAATGTAAGTGTGTGTAAAGCAGGTGTGTGTAATGCAATTGTGTATAATGCAAGTGTGCTGGGTGAGAATCCAAAGGTGCATGTGATTCACGTGATTGCATTTGCCAGGAGTGCAACAATTAATCTCACGCAGAACCACGCAAATTAATAAGCCACTCTCGCTCTCACATCCTGACTTTCTCTCTTCGGCGGAGGCTTATTGACGCAGTACCAAGCGAAACGCTCGCACACGTGACAGCTAACATTTTTTGTTAGGCAATGTCGGGTGGCGGAAGGATTCGTGACACAAATTAGGCCACATCATTACGTGGCCTAACTCAACAAAAAAAAACACCCAATCCGGGGTGGTTTTAGTTGGTGTTCGAGGCCGTGTTTGATTGCGGTTCCGCTTGGCCACTCAACGTTTAAGTCCCCCAGGGACAGATCCACCGCTTGCGCTCTCGCGCGCCGCCAACAAGAACGCACGGAGCGTAACCCCCCCCCCCACCCCCCCCCCCCCCAGTTCTGATGACGGCTTGAGACAGCCTTCATCCAGCAGTGGATCGGGGCGCGTCGAACATGGCCCAGTGGCAGCTTGTTACGGTACGTCGCCTGGTCCAACACTGGCACGTTGCCCTGGTTAACACTGTGGTGTGGCGTTAACCGTAACAATTTGTTTGTTAAAAATAAACTATGCGCCGTCTCCTTCACACAGTGGAAGCAAAAAGAAACCCCTTGCCATCATTCGCAACTCGTAGCCCATTGCGCACCAGTGTCAAATTCTCCAGAACAATGCCGTTCGCACTTCCGTCACGTCGTACTGCAGTGGGACAGCTGCCGCTGGGGGTGCCCTTTCAAGTGCTTAAGACGAGCTACGTGAAGCAATTTACCCGTCGCGTGCAAAGTGCTCAGAGACGCTCAGGAGTAATGGGCGCTCGATCCTATTGTCAAGCTGCCGCTGCTGATGGTGGTGACGATGACGATGATATGCCCCATATGCCAAAGCCAAATACTCTTCATAATAGAGGAGGGGGGTGGGGTTTGTGTCGTTAAACCCACCACCACCCGACACAGCCAATTAGTAATGTTTGTCACATCAATAAAACATCCCGATACGTTACTAGTCCAGCACACCGGTGTGTTCGAGAGTAAACCCACAACATTTACAAATAGTCTTCCTACTCAAATAAGCGTTGCCCAATTTTCTTCTCCATTGCCAGTGCT